AGGTAAGGTGTTCTAAGATTGTGATATGTAGAAGCAGAAAATAAACAGGATCATGGAGAAAGTTAAACGCAGCAGTAAAGATGTGCTGATTAGGATGCATAGCAACGACTTTCAAATTGAAAACTCAGGCTCTCTCTTAGCTTTTCCCACAAAAACATTTCCATTAACTAAGTGAGTTGCACACTACATGGAGGCCACTAATATGGTAAAACAAATAGTCATCTCATTAGGCACAGACAGTTATTAACTGATCATTAGGAACAAATAACATGATGTGTTTTTTTGCATTTTGTTTTAATAGAAAAAGGTACATGCAACTTTTTGATTTGAAAACAGTTGAATGCAATACATTTGAAATAATAAATTATAATACTCTCAGTGTTTTTATAGTTGAGATTCTAACGTCAATAAAGCAAAATGAAAGCTAAGACCTTACCGTCAAATAAATAAGCACATGTTTTTTTTTATACACGTTTACGCCTGTTATCTTACAAATGAATGTAAGCCACTTGCGTCAGCAGATGTGTAACTTCGATCATTTTTCCCATTTAGTATTCTGTTAACAGACTGGATGGGCATGTACAGGGACATGCTTAATGCCTTTGTGTCAAGGTAAACTTTCCTATATAGCGTCTTGTTAGCTATACAGAGAGGAAGCTCTCATGGTTTCTTTCTGCAGGATATTATTCTGTAGTTATGTACTGATTTGTGTTCAATTTACTGTTTATTATAGCCCACATAATTACACCACAGATCTAATAGAACATGCTAGTTGTGACTGACATGTAATGACACGCGTGGTAGCACAGTGTATTGTAGAAATGCAATTGAGATGAGGCCGATGTAGTCGCATCATGCATTGATACTGAGGCTTTGAAACATCCAGGATAATTTTCCACTCCATCAGCATCAACACATTCACAATCCTACTTGGCAATTAAGAGGCACAAAACGATTTTTGCATGTATTTGAAGTATGAGAGCCACTGGAGGAAACCCACACACCCACTGGGAGGACATGCAAACTTAATATAGAAGGAGCTTTGCCTGGAGATTAAAGTCAAAACTCTCTTTTGTGAGAAGGCAGAGCTAACTAACTTCCAAACTCTTCCGCTGCTGAAGTCCTGTGTAGTAGGATGCTTGAATCCTCTTTTTTTTTTTACTTTTACATAATTCCATGACAGACGGTACAATAAAAAACGATGCAATGTTTATAATTGACACCAAAGGATGCAAAACTTTAAAACCTGGAGAGTTTGAGAAGCATTCCGGTTATTCACTTGTTTTTTCTCTTTCCTAGCAAAGGTACTGTTGAACAAATTGAATTACAAGTGAAACAAGAGAGCATGCAAATTGTATTAACCGTTACAGTTACAGCAGATGACTGACTAGTTCAGTTGTAGCCAGTTTTTGGCTTGTTGACAATCACCACTCTTGCTGAGCAAATACATAAATGCATCACAAGTAACATTAATGTGTCTTGTGGCGGCGCCCCTCCAGCATGTGGCGCTCTAGTCGACCGCCTATATAGCCTATGCCAAGAGCTGGCCCTGACCCCATCAGTAACACAAAGCTTGTTACAGTTACTATACATAGAACATATTTGCTGTGAGCCAATTAAATTGCAAGAGTTTTGAGTGGAATTTGTGGCTTTTATTTTTTGTTCCAACAATTTCATTTGGTTCCACTGAGTTCACATTTTGTGCCCTGTGTTACTTTTTAGTTAAATGTTGACGGTTTAGCAGTAAATAAAACATGACTTACAATTACGTTTGTAAGTTAAACCATGAAAATAAAAATAAAAGATGACCTATTCAATGTTCAGCATGGTTCACCACTTCCTTAAAGCAAAAATATGTGACTTTTCCACCTTAAACCGTATTCCTTCATATTTTTGCTTCAATGTAAAAGTATCTTTTATAATGTTTCAAAGTCTAGCACATAAATAAAGATGGTATCATTGATTTGTGCAAATTCTAAGTTGCTATCCGTCAAAGTATATAGCTTCAAACTTTGAAAACGCTTTTTCTATGCGGGCTCTGAAAGTTCTGAAACACATCTGTTTAAGTCAAGCACTTATATGTTGCTATTGAAGTGTTTGAAATACATGAAGTTGGTCCACTCCATCCCCAAAAGAGTGAAGATTGAACGAGTGTTCTGTTAACAGAAGTCCCCCCCAAACACACACACACACACACACCAAAGACATTGGTCCTTGATGTTCAGAAAGCCCAGTATATAGTAAATCCTTCCTAAAACCGTATAAAACCTTTATTTTTTTAATTTTTAAAACTGTTTCAACAATTTCATACAGCTGCCGTCCTAACACCTAAACCTTAAATGAACATCAATGTTTAGAAATAGTACCTGTTGGTTAAATTCTGTCTAATAATTATCATCAACATTGAAATCTGTAAAAAAACAGAAAAACATTTGCACATGGGATTTGTCAAGGCAGGAGTTTTTTTCTTGGTTTCCTGCAGCATCTACACAGGTACCAAAGTATATTATCTCCAGAGTCCGGAGCAGGAGGATAAATCTGCTTCCAAAGGAACATTAATGGTGAGGAATTAGAATGATATTGATATAAAACAAATCAGCGACTTAACCTGCTGATAAACAGTGGTACAGTCAGCTGGCACTGAATCCAAAGTCCTGAAAGTGTATGCACTCATGCTTGCATTGTGTGCGTGTATGGTATATATTTCAGTCTACTTCTACAACGCTGTGGTTTTTAAAACAAAGATTCCAATCAGTTGGCAATTTCTCACACATATTGAGCTGTATGCTAAAGAGCTAATTAACACGGGGTGTTATGGAGCTCACAAACTTCCCTGACATCTTAATTAGATCTTAATGACATTTCAGTTGGAATGACTGAACTGAGTGAGCACCCTGAGATGAGGGAAACCAGTGCTGATATCCAGAAGGAAACAGGAAAGCGACCGATCCGAGAGTGAGCACGAGCAGGAAACGAAGGAGATAGAGAGAGGAATAAATTCAAATGAGGAGGACATTTGTGCTGTTTACGTCCCCACCAGTCATATAGAATGTCCTGCGTGAGATAACGTGTGTTAGAAATAGGATTTGATTTACTGGCACTTTTCATTCCCTTTTTTCCTGCCTTCTCTCTCCTCTCCCCCAGACGAACATGGGACTATAGGTTGCTCAGTAATTACTCTGCCCATATCCCAGTGGTATCACATCTCTAAAGGGGCCTCTTAATCGCATTCTTAGCATTTATTACCATGACATTTCAGTGTAGTCACTCTGGAAATAACTAGCTACGCACTTCACTGCCAATGAGGATAACACGATAATGGTGTTTCTGGCAGATAGATGCCTGATTAGATACAATAATCTTCTGTAGTGCTATGTTTTGAATTGCAGATAGTTCTGCATGGTCCGCAGTGATTCCAGGGAATACACTTTCTTTTCTTGTATAGGGGGGAGGGGGGGGCTGTGTATTTTTAGCTGAAAGGTTGATGCACCTTTATGCAGCTACAAACAAAGTCATCAGACTGCGATGAAAGAACAATAGGCTGCAGCGAATGAGCAAACTAGTTCTCGAGTGCACAGGCTTCAAACTCCCCGTGTGATTATATCATTTTTAGTTCACCGTAATTACCTGCCTGCTGTCGGCTGCGAACACACGTGTAAGCAGTACGGTGACACTCGACCCAGAAAATCAACACCTTGTCAGGAGAGGAGGTAATTGATTAAAATCTCGGGAGGCAAATGTTTATTTCCAAGGTAAGTTGCTCTGTGTGTGTTTTCCTGGGCTCAGCTGGCCTACGCTGCCCCTCACTGGAGAGCAGCCATTAGAGGAGAAGGGGACAGGGAAATAGGGAGAGACAACACACAAAACCAGGGGCAGATGATGAGGAGCCCAGAGAGTGTGCAAACCAGAGATTCCATCAGTGAAAATGAGGGAGGAAAGGCTAAACAGAAACTTGGTGTGAAGCCCCTTGCGAGGAGCAGAGTGAGAAATAAACAGAGTGGATGTGGGTTGAAAGATTGGACAGCAGGAGACACATTACTTAGAATGTGTTGGTAGCTGCTGATGCTGTTCTGTGTGCAGCCATGTCTGTTTATCACTTTTCTCTTCTCCCCAAGCCCACTGTCTCATCTCTATTCTCCCCCTTATGTGTAGCCTAAATCTGTCAGAATACAGCCACAAATACCTGGCAACAACCAACATTTGCAACCACCCCCTTGTCTCCCCATCTTTCCTCCCCTGCAATGCCTCGAGCTTCTGTTCATTTGCACTTCCTCCCTGTTACTCTGACTTTATTCATTTCACTTAGCCTTTATGGGTTTATTTAGCATTTTATTCGCCTATAAAGGGCAATAAAAGAAAGCGCTTGTTTTCGCGTGTGTCTGCAATTCATCCTAACACATCTAGGTCCACAGATGCTCGCTTAATTTGGTGGTTTTCCTTTCAAGAAGGTCATGGTTTGTTTCCTGTTAAAGACAAAGTGGAGCGTTTTACCAACATCGTCTGTGCTTCATTCTTTTAACCTATTTGTGGCATAAAGCATCCAGTCTGAATGCTTTATTCTTGTGCTGAAGAAACTAACTGTTGCTGAGGTGGTTACTGTTCCTGGCAGATGTTCTGTAAATCCAGACCAAAGACAGACTAGCCTCTTTTCTGAGGCTGGGCTGACTACTTACCCATTAACCCTCGCCTGACAGGGCTTTAACTACCAGACAGCTTGTGCCACACTCAGGCCTTTGGCTGCTGGTCATGAGGAGCCAAAGAATAGCAGTGTGTCACCCTGATAAGCTGTGAGTCAGTCATTGACTGACCCGCTGTCAGATACTATATAGTGTACTCTATCTGTAGCAAGTGGATGGGCATTGATCTCATTCAGCTCTCTCATAATCACACTGTGCCTGGCATGCTTTGTGTATTGATCGTGTGGTTACGAACGTCAGGACGCGCATATGGTCTGTGACAGCACTGATTAGTGTCTGTTTGTGTGTGTCTGTATATTGCAGGTTCACAGAGGCAGATACCATTGTGATGGGGGACGTGACATACGGGGCCTGCTGCGTGGACGACTTCACCGCCAGAGCTCTGGGAGCTGACTTCATGGTGCACTATGGACACAGTTGTCTCAGTAAGTCTGTTTTTTTGTTTGTTTTTTAACTCCATGTGTGCATGTTATTCCCATTGACTGTATTATCATAATACATTGCCACCATGACATAACCCACTGGATAGACGAATGGCTTTTTGAAGTCTTCAGTTAGGTACCACAGGCAGCCACATGAAGAGAGCGAGGATTTGTTTCAAATGCTAAGCTATTAAAAGTATTCTGTGTGCACCTGTGACTTATTTTTCTCGGTTGGGGAAACTTTACTTTTGTTTCCCACTGACAGCGATTCTATTCGTAGAGGAAGCTGACCAGAGTTCTTTATCTATAAGCTAAGGAAAATGATGAAATAAAGAGGACTCTCCGTTTGTTCACCCACTCCTCTGTAGGCAGAGTGAACAGCGGATAAAAAGTCATGAACCAATAACTTCAAAGAGAATATGTTCTCATCACTATTGAGCAGCGTCTCCTCTATTGGAAAAGAAAAGAACAATCCTTACACCAATAAACAAAATTCCATATATAAATCACATTTTGGCAAAGACTGTACGAGTTCAAAAGCAGAGATACCTGAAGACATATAAATAATAGCCAATTTCACATACGAGAGACCAGACTCTCAAAGGCCTGTTTGGACAAAAAATAAATGCACGGCATACGACGGTATTTGTCTGATATTTAAATTATTATATTATTTTAAAAAATCGTCAAAAGACTCAGACAACACAAAAACAACCAAGAGGTTAGGTTGAGTAACTGAAGTAGCTGAGTTGCACCTAACAGACAGCTATGAGTCAGCCTGTCACTCAAAGCAAAGACACCCTTTATTATCCATTATTCTTAGCCTTGATAGAATCTCAGACAACTTGTACGATATTACAGGAAAATGTACCATAGAGTCCAATACTGGTTGTTCACCAGGCTTTTGTGACTGTATGATTGTGTTTTAAAGTTAGGCATTTTAATATTGAGCTTAACTGTGATTGACTTACATTTGGAGCACGTCTCAAGTGGCCAGTTTTTGGCTCGTCTGCTTGTGCTTTATTTCTCAGCTCTGGGATTTAGCACATTGTTTGTCCATTTCTCTGAATCCCAAGGAGAAATGTGAATTCTCTTAAGACCTTAAAATAGTGACGCATGAAGAAGTCAGAGAACAAACAGACTAACCGATGGAGCTATTGATCAACGGAAAACGTAACTAGTTGGCGCATCCTGCTAACTCTAGTATGGAAGCACATATAAGACCTTTGGAGCCCGGACATTCCATTTAGCCAGCAGATCAATGAGGAACATACATTAGACCCGTCCTTTAGAAAGCTTCATGCAGTTCTCGAGGACCTTCAGCCTCACCCCCGCTGTCTGTCTCTTACTGAACATGGGAGGAAATGCTAAATCAATAGTTTTGATATATCCCTGCCAGAACAAGCTCCCCTCTCCCAAATACCAGCAATGACCTACAGAATTTTAATACACCAGAAAGCTTTTTCAATATGCTTTTTATTGTGTGTTTGTTTGTCTTTCGATGTGAACACTCATTCTCTGGTATCTGTGTGGGAGTTATATGTGCATGCACATATATTTACAAAAGAGATATGAACAACATGTCCACAATTTACACACAGATCCCTAAAGGCCTAAAGATAAAAGACCCTAAGATCCATTAGTGGTTGGTTGTGAAGTTTCTCTGAAGAGATTTTCAAACAAATTGGATTGAACAACAGATACCCAAATAATCTGTGTGTAAGAGTGCCAGTATGTATGTGTTCCTGACTTCACTGCACAATCATAAGGACATCATGTGCACTGTTTCCAAAGATGTCAGGTACCTGTGGGAGATTAAAGACAGTGATTTCTGACTGACTCACAAAGAGAGCTGTGTGTCCTGTGCTCCTTTATTCTCCTTTCATTTCCTTTGAGGGATCTGCTTTTGAATATCAGCGCTATCTCCACTTGTATCCTCAAAAAGCCCCTCCATCCAGTACAGGACAATATGGGCAAAACCATAAGCCCATTTCATAATATGTTTTCGAGGTGTCGTAGTATATGATGATAAGAGGGGTAAGAATTTAATTTGACCTTCATGAGGTTTAAAGAACATTTGTGCACATATTTAGTTACAGCAGAGTTAAAAGAGAGTGAGTGGACAACATGTAGAGACAGCCAAATAAAATGTTTACATTACATCTATTTCATTGCGGCTAGCCAGGGTTTGGGAGAAATAAAACTTGTCAGACTTGACAAGGCAAGGCCTGCTGCTACAGCTCAAGATTTGAGCTTGTTTACTTGAACATGCATGAAACCTGGTTTTGAATAACTTGTTAATCATGCCAATCCATTGACATGTATGATAAGCCACACTTGACATTTCAACTAATAAAAAAAGGCTGTTCCAATAACTCATTCTTGGCATGTGTCCAAACATTATATTCTCTCTGCTTTCCTGTGAGAAGTAATTTCCAGTTGTTTTCTTGAGATCTCAAACTGATTTTTCTGGAATCCCAAGAGTTGCATAAAAACAAAACAAACATAGACATAGGCTGACCTTACCTCATTAGTGAGGTCCATGCCTGTCATAGCCTGGCCTGTCACAGTGACCAGCCTGGTAACAGCAAAATTATCCTGTTTCCAGGAGAAAAGCAGCTTTGAGCTAATGATTTAAATCAATTCATTACAAAAAAACAGATTTTGTATTAGATTACAGGAAAAAGAAGTCAATATTTTAAGAAAAGAACTGAAATGAACTCTTTTCACTGTAAAACCACCAATATTGTTCTTTGGATAAAAAGATGAACGCGATTGATCATGAGTGGGAAATGTAGTAGAATTGGGAGTCTCTTAGATTTAAAAAAATAAAAAAATAAATACTGCACCCTGATTTCGACATTCACAATTTTTAGGAAGGTTTCTTCCACCTAATAGATTACAAATGAAGACACATTTTTTGGGGTGTTTTTCTTGAACATGATTTGACACCTGAGTCATAAAACCATCAGACTATGTCCATGTTTAAATGTACTGTGTATCTATAGACCCAAATCAGACCTGTTCAGGTAGAATGCAGTCTTCATTCACCAACCTTCGCTCATTGTTTCATGATATCACTTCACAATGATTCCAATACCAATACTAACTCTAAACCTGGACGCGTTTAGTGTGTATGGGATCAAGTTTATTTTACACAAAAAATATACAAAAACAAAGAAACAATACAAATACAATTCTGAACTAAAGTTTTGATTTCATATAAAGAAGACATCTGGCAACACTGTCCCTCAAACCTGCATTCACTGATACTTACATATCTAGAGTAGTGAAGGCTGTCATTTACTGATTTTCCACACTCACAACCTTGAATAGAATCTGTGAGTACATATTGATCCGTCAAAAAGCCAGTAAACCATGTTTTTTTATTTTTCTTAGCTTATATTGCTATGAACGTACTGAGACTGTCTCTCTTATTTCATTGGTATTAATGGACAGCTTACCTGTGTGACCTCACGGCTATGACACAGAGATGTATAGCTGTTTAGAAGAACTGATGGGGCGAGTGAGTCCTGTCCGTCTCATTGACTGTGTCTCTGATTGCAGCGTCTAAGTGCTCTCAGGCTACCATGCTAATGCGAATACAGATCGATGTCAGTCTTCTTTGCCCTTTAGGTTTAGCGAGTGTCCATAAACAAGCTGTGGACAGCTGTTAGTCTTTTTAACTCGACTCCTCCGACCCTTTTTAGCCTCATGATATATTTAACTCTTTGGTTTTTCACTCAACATGCAGCCTGTGGCAGAGCCCACCTTTTTAAACCCCACATCCATCTCCTGCTCGTTCCTCTGTGCTGTGCTGAGATGTGAGCCCATTCATCACTGCTGCTGCCAGTTTATTGACAAGCCTCCCCCCCCGGCCCCACCCCAAAACCTCCAAACACACTCACACACTCACTCAGAGTATCCTATTACTTTTTCCACTCTTCCTCTCTTCCATGACCTATCTTTCAGAATTAATATACTACATTATTAAATCACTTACCTCTACCAACATATTGAATTTCAGTTTTAACCAGCCTACTTTAATGGGAATTTTTCATTTCGTCCTCCTGGTCTCCATCCTATCTGCCTTTTATTCCCAGTGAAAGACGTGTCTGACTCAGCTCCTCCACCCATCTCTATTCGCTCTCTTTTTTTCCCGCCATTTTTCATTCTTTTAGTCCCCTATTTGTCCCTCTCACCGCTTACTTAACTTGGTCGTCACGTAAAGCTGCAAATGCTCATAAAACATCTCCAACATAATGAGCCATTTATTTGATCGCGACAAAAAAAAAAAAAATCTTCTTGCTCCAGGGCTGATAATTGAATGTAACACAAGAGGAAGACAAATTAAAATGACCAACGATAATAAACCTTTCATATCTGTGCCCCCCCATTCCTTTTTTGTTCGACCCTCGCCTACTTTTTCAGCCCCTAACTCAGCACGTCTCTCGCGTGGCGGGTTAGCGTAGTAAATGGCCTGTGAAATTAATGGCATTAACAGTGATCGCATGCGTCCCTCTCTTTCCCCTCAATAATTGAGGTCTTTGCATCAGTTCTTGCATTTGCTGGAGATTCACGCTGAATGAGTTTCAGTCAGATCACACGGTGGGCGCCTTCTGCAAGCTAAAGTATGCATATCCTGTGCTACCCAAAGTATGCATGTCCTGTGCTACCCATATATTCCTGCACACGTGCTTCGTGTTAATGTTCGAGGCAGCATCAATAGTGTATAAGCCACTGGCTAACCTGACATAACAGAGTGAATTATTCATCCGTTGTTCCTTTTTGTCTCCCTTTAGTCCCTATAGACTCCACAGCAGGTATAAAGATGCTCTACGTGTTTGTGGACATCCAGATGGACAACGGACACTTCCTGGACACGGTCAAGTTCAACTTCCCCCCTGGACAGTCTCTGGCGCTCGTCAGCACTATTCAGTTTGTGGCAGCACTGCAGGTAATTAAACACCAGCTCTGTCTGAATTTGTGTGTTGTGTAGAAGACTCTTTTTGTTTGTGTATGTCAGAAAGAGCTGACGTAGAGTGATTCTGAATCTGAACCTGAATAGTCTTGTCACTTTTGTGTATTTCCTGTCTCTCTTTTAAGTGTTTTTTTTATAGATACAGTATGGGAACACACACACACATATATATTTCTGTACTTTTCCTGTCTTTTATGAACAAGCTTGCACTCCAAACTTAAGCTCAGTTCAAGTGTGGGTTTGAGGAACCTGGCAGCGGTTATTTTTGATTTGAAAGGTGGAATGAACCTCGGAAGGCCTCTCGGTTCAGCGTCGTGCTTATCTCTGCTCTTTATATAAGCAGTGGCAGCATCTATAGCATTAATGTTGAACATTTCACTCGGTAAATCTGTGATGTGTCTCATTTGCTGCACTCCGGGGGCTTTTCGCTAATGTAACCACTGTTATTTTTAAACCTCGCTCGGCGTGTGGGTCATATTTAATGTGGGGGGGGTGTTTGTGTATATGTATGCATGGTGTTCTGTTAGCATGTGTGCCTCTTTTTCAATCATGTCTTATGGTGTGTGGGTTTGCTGAGGTCACACAGTATGGGCGGGAGAAGCTGGGAGTTCACTGTGTATTCCCCGTGGACTGTCTTAAATTAGCCTTAAAACATTCAATTTATCTTTCCACCTCCAAGTACACTAACTGGTTATTTTATTTTCTGTTGTAATTGTTTGCTCTCTCATCTTCTCCCTTTGCTTTAATGAAAGTAGGTGTTGGATGGGTTTCTTTTCTTGATTATGAAAGCGCTCTTTTTATTAGGAATGCTGATATTTCTTGTTTATTGTTGATATTATGTTATACATATTTGTATTGTTTTTTATTATAACCTGCTGCGTTGTAGACAGGGTCTTTGTCAGTGTCCACATCCACATATTTTACCCTGAGTGGCCACATTTGTCAAAATCAAAGTGTCATGCCCGGCCCATGAAGATTCACAGAAAATCACAGTAACAGTCGCTGACCTTTCCCTTTTTTTGCCTCATTGGCTTCTGTCAATCCTTCATCTTTAAATACAACACTTGTCCTTCTGCTCACATACAGCATTGCATATCTATCTTGTTTGCATCCATTATCTGTGTGCTTACAAAGCCTTCATATTAAAACAAAAAAAACAAACAAAACAAAAAAGTCACAAGAATTGAAATTCTAAACACATCAAGTGTAAAAGGAAATGCTGCCCCTTTTTTCCCCTCTCATAAAAAACATGAGCTCAGGCAAAGCAAACAGAAAAAAAGTTGGATGAGCCGCCTCACTGGATACATTTCAGGCTTGGCACATTTAGATGTTTATTAACAAGCAGGAAGTGACGGCTTAAATCAGTGTTATAAGATGACCCTTAAGCAGAAAATGGGATGCCAGAGGAGTTTTTACTCATGTAAGCATTTTATTGTAATGTTCTTTTTTTTAAACTGAAAAGAATTAAAAATGTTTACCAAGAAATATTTTGAAAACACAAAATTATTGAAAGTCCATCCACTAAATGATAATATATTTGATTTTATAAAATGGAATACGTCATGTAGCAATGAAAAAACTCAATATATTCAAGTACAAATGTGTGTGGTTCAATTAACAAAGATGGTAGATCCTGTTTCTTGTGAAGTCAATTCTTCATGGAATTAAAGGCAGGGTTAGTCATTTTCTCCAGAAACACTTATTAAGATTTCGGTTGAAATTGTCTTTAGGTCCTGAAAGAAATTAATAATTCATGTGCTCTGAAAAAGGAAAGAAAATCCGTCATCTGTAGCAGCTGTAAGCCTGTAAAAGTGAACGAAAAGAAATACGGAATCGCCTCTTCTATTCTTGTTCCACTAATAAAAGACCAAGGGCTGACCACGCCAGTACAGTTTTCAACTTTTATCAGACATTATTCTCGAGTATAGTACTTAAATCAAGAGTGTTGAGCGGCAGCGGTGAGAAAATTGTCTTCTCGTATCACAACAACGGTTTATATATCCGCGTTCTTGCTCGTCCTCTTCCGGTTTCCCCTTTTTGGAATGACGATTACGGAGTCCCACCGCCTGCTGGCATGGACAGTTCTTGCCTATCGCGCATGCGCAGAACATACGTGGTGGTTGGCCGTCGGCTGCCGTCTTTGCGTTGTGTTCTCATGCAACTTTTTGGCCAAGACAAAAGCCGTCGTGCGCCGACGCCACAGGTGGCCTTCGTCGCCACTAGTTCTCCACCGTCTTCTTGGTGTGTAAAGAAAATTACCATCCACACCTTTTTTTACTTGTTTTATTTTTTTATTTTTTAATCACTATTAATACCTACTAGTGTGTCTTGAAAGCCTAACCAATAGTCTTTCACATTTCTTTCCTTTCGGAAAGCAATTTCAAACCTGTGGCTACTCCAGAAAACAGGAATGTGTTGATGTTGAACTTGTCCAAACCTACAACTCCCTCATTATCTCGTCTCCCTCCTTCCTCCATGCTGCAGGCTGTGAGTGCTGCTCTCAAGCCGGAGTACGATGTGCTGGTCCCGCAGTGTCGACCTCTGTCACCAGGAGAAATTTTGGGCTGTACCTCCCCTCGCTTGGACCGCCATGTAGATGCTGTCATGTAAGATACTTTTTTTTCCTCCTGTCTGCCACATCACAGTTTCAGCCTATGGTCAAACCGGCGATTACTCATCCTCACCCCCTTCTCCTAGCAGCTACCATAACAATGTCTTCTATGGCCAGATCCATCCACCAGACACAGGGAACAATCAGTATGACATCACCACAATGTGCAAGGCTTCTAATACATTCAGCAGGAAACAGGCAGATGCAGATACAGGACAGAGGCTAAAAATATCTTCACACTGTGTTAAGCCAGAAAGGCAGACCACTTTTAAACAAACCACGACACATCCAAAAAAAAGGTCGCCAAAAATTCCCATGTTTGAAAGAAATGTTTTCAGAAGGAATGGAAGCCCGCTGTGGTGCGTTCATGGTGAGAATTTATCAAATGCGTCCCCATTTGTCTTTAAATCTGTTTCAGCTGTGCGGGTTTTCATTTCCCAATCATTTCCTACAAATGGAAGAAACAAAAGAAATCCAGGAGGAAGCTGCACGTGTCCTAAAATACTTCTGATTCTGCATTTTATGTACATCTATATAAATGTAGTGCAAGTGAGACTATCAAAGTGATGTGTATCCTGCCTGTTCTGCAGGGAGGAGAGCTCTCTGGCAAACTAACAGCGTCAGGCAAATAAACAACACCTCCGCAGCCACTTTCTGTCCATACAGTACATCTGGTGCGACTCTTCAGTACATACCGCCCTATGCTTTGTGGTGCACACAGAGTTGAAGTAATTCCCTGGGTATTATTATGTCTAGGTGCATCACCCCATATATCTGATCAGTGCATATCTAGCGTTAGTCCATGTGATTAAAACCTCCCAGAGCTCGGGATTAAAACGGCTAACAAGAACAAGATTTGCTGTATGGGTAAGCTTGGCAGTATGGGACTGAAACAAGTGTGTGTGTGTGTGTGTGTGTGTGTGTGTGCATGTGTGTGTTTTAGTGTGTGCATGTGAAAGTAGAAGAGTTAAGGTTGTTCTTCACCTTCTAATCCAATGTGCGTTCTCTTTGATGTGTATACGGTTCGGATGGTAGAGGGAATCGATTAGGCTGCCTGAGAGTTGGTACACTTCTTTAAATCTCTCACTCTCTCTTTTTCGCTTTCTCTCCTTCGAAAAAAGGCCCAGTCTCCCAAACCTAAATTTGGAAGAATGGGCCATTAACCCGAATGGAAGAAGTATTTTATTATGCTCTGACAGCTGCCTCCCAATCTTAATTTCTGAGTCCCCCCCCCCATGTTTTAACAAGCTTTCTTTGACTTCAACAAATGTCAATTAAGGTTTTCAATCATGCGATTTTTGCCCACTTCTAATGCTAAAGCAGGACAGAGCGTGCTCCTTTTAGCAGTGTAGGCTTTTTTTCATAACCTTTTAAAGTAGAATAAATTCAAATGTAACATGTGACATGTTACATAAATTCAAAATGAGTCAGTGTTCCAATATGTTACTTTTAATTGCATCTTTCTTAAGCTTTGAGGTACTCGAGCGTTCTGGAGAATGGGTCTTTGAGGTTTGACTTGAGGCTTAAGAAAAGGCCTGGTGTGTCTCATTTCTACAATGAAGGGAAGTATTTTCTAAAAGCTTAGAAGTGCATGAAAAGAATCATAAGCTGTCAGTAGCCTCCACTTTGTCTCAGTCGTATAAGACCATTAGGAAGAATATGAATGTATAGAGACTTAGTTCCATAACGCATAGATGCACCGCTTCACCATAAAAGGAAGATAACTTTTATAAAGTATAATAGAATATGGATGGCAGGACTGTGATTACAGGGAAAGCACTCCAGGCTCTTAAAGCTACAGAGAGCTGAGGACCAGCTTGGCTGAAATGCAGCAGACTATTTGTTCTGAACATAATTATATGAAGGCCTTGGTTGTTGCTTAGCAAATCCAAGAGAAGCCGTGAAACAGAGGCTCCCTTTGGGTACATTTTGTGTTGTACATTCACTGCCATACATGACTCACACACACGCACACAGGTATAGGCAGACATATGTGTACTTTCACACGAACACACACATGCTTTTTTTTAAGTCTCAGCTAGACATATCTCCAGGTAGCCTATGTGGCAAATCACCCATGACCTGTTCCAAGCTGCCTCTACTGTAAAGCTGACTAATTAGAAGGCTTAATTGCCTGCCCTCTCTCAGTAGGCCTACTGAGACCATAGATTAACGAGTAGGAGGACTGACCTGAGCCCACCTAAAGTAACAGCAGGACTCTTTTAAGCCTAACCCTGAGAGAGGGGGTTTACTGTGCTTTCAGGCGCCTACAAGCCCCTCTGTACGTATGGTTTGGTGAATTCCCAAACCAGAGCCCGGTTTAATCGGGAGGGCTTGCATTTGTCTGTAAACAGCATGCTCCAGCTGTTGGGGTTACGTTCCCTGACAGCATAGGTTGGCAGACCCTCCGCCTCAGGCCCTCTGCCTGGTAACGCTGATGTTTTCTTTTAGAAGGCTGCAGAGATGAATGGATGGATGAATAGAGCAAGAGAAAAAGCTTTCAGAGGGCTTGCAGAAGAAACGCATACGATCGAAAAAACAATATCTGTTATGGTTGCTAGTTAATTCTGATTGTCTGGGGGTTTTCTGGAGAGGATTATTATATTTGTGCGTTCTAACATTGAATTGATTCGTCTTTCTTTGTAGTTATCTTGGAGATGGAAGATTTCATCTGGAATCAATCATGATCGCAAACCCTGATATCCCTGCCTACAGGTACTGTGGCTCCTTTTTTAATCCAATACTTTTGAGTCACTGTAATGAATAGCTGTGCTCATCAACATAATGTTTGTTATAATCCATTGACCTCAGTACTGTTCACACAATTTGAGAGCAACAGGTAGTGGTATGGTGTTAGGACTGCAAAATATGGATATGGAAGTCTTACAAGAAAAGTGAGACATTTTACAAATATATATATATATATATATATATATATATGTATATATTTAACAACAACAGATCATTAAGATTAAGAATGATTATGCATAGGAGAGATATTTTTAAAGCTAATATAATTGGAATAAATTACTGTCAACATTAACCCCGTTATTGTTGTTTCTTGATGCTATTTGGTGAGGAGGCAGATCTGTTTTCATCTTGTTTATATGCAAAATCAAATATGTTGTTATGGACATACACACTGCCACACATATCGCAGGTCTCTCTCATAAACAAGATTCTATTCTAAGAGTACTCATTGCGCCAAAGAAAAGCAGATTAGTTGCTTAGAAATTCCTCGTATTTTTCCTTAGATACACCAACTCCCGTCATACTTGATGACTTTTCATGATTTGATTTTTTTCATCTTTTCTTGCACTTTCTTCCTCAAGACATTTACCTGAGTGATAGATTGTTATGTGTGAAACGCATTCACAGCTTTGTGTCTATTCCTCTTTTTGTATGTGCTGGTAGATATGACCCCTACAGCAAGGTGTTCAGCAGGGAGTACTATGATCACGAGGCCATGCGAGCCTTAAGGCTCAAGGCTATCGACAAGGCCCGATCAGCCCAGAGATGGGGCCTGATCATGGGCACGCTGGGCCGACAGGGCAGCCCAAAAGTCCTGGAGGTAAGAGTTTGAATCCTCATTTCAACAGTCTGCATGTCCTGAGGCCACTGTGCAATGGCTTGTAATATTCATCAATGTGAGCTTCTCTGACAAGTGCTTTAGTGACATGACGGACTGATAGAACAAGCACTGGGAGCTTGTTATTTCATATTTAGGATGATGCAACTCGTACTAACTTCTACCCTTGAATCTACTGTTGGCCTCAAGGTTGGCTGCATTGAAGTCACTGCTCGATATGTGAAATGATTTCCTTAAATCTAACATTAATGAGAGCTATTAAAGCATGACCAAATGTTTAAAAGTTGTAACCATACTGGTCAAAATCCAAGCTCTTCTCTTTGAAAGCTTTTCTTATATCTTCTTTTACATCTCAAAAATTATTTAAAACATGAAGTAGAATTTTTCCTGAACACTATGTGCATGCTAGCTTATGTTCCAATAGGCACAAACAGATAAGTGGGAAACTCTTTGAAGTACAGTCTTGCAGGCATTAGCATACACACAAGTCTGTCCCAGTTATTAATCAATGGACCTAAAGGCCCTCTCTGGTCACTTCTAACCCACAGCTGCTGCTCCTCGGGCTGCTAACCCGCCACTGCTTGTTATATATCGGTCTAATTTTATGAAGCCCTTATCCCATTTGTAAATGTCAAAACTTGAAAGATTATGTAAAGCATTGAAGTAAAAATGTCAACCAGAAAGCGAAAAAGCGTCATTTTAATATTAGGATAGGATCAATGGAAAAAAGGGGGATTTGAATAAAGTGCCAACCAGCTTTCCCATATTGATTTGTGGAGATTACGATGTATTCCGTCAGATAACCTCTCAGGTATAGCTGACCTGATAACAGCGCTGTTGCAGAAATTCTCATGATACTCCCAAGTTGATATCAGTTGAAATCAGCAGCACTCATACCTTTATCTCACTGCAGGAACATTGCTGGGTTTTTGTCACCTGGTTTGGCTGCCTGCTGTATCCCTGAATAACATCTTGGTCCAGGTTCCAGTTCCATTTAAAAAAAAAAAAAGTCAATCAGAAAGAAGAGCTCCTTGAACTGGCCAGCATTTATGGATGTTAGACCAGGCACGGTGTCTGGGCTTGTACCCAAGGGGCCCGGGAAAGTAAAGTGGGGCTGGCCCTTTGTGGTCCCACTCCCTTATTAGGTGCTTTGGTAAATGGAAGGCAAAGCTCAGATCCTTGGTGAGCTGAACTCATACTAAGGAAGTTGGACCCCCTTCTATACACAGCACCAATTCTAAAGCCAATCGTCTGGCTGATGCCAAGCAGTTATTGGAAAGCTCATAATTCCCTTGCTAAGCACAACTGGGTTAAATGTTTCCCTATAGAAAATAAAGTATACATCTGGATGACTATTCTACAGAGAGCAAGGCACTCACTGTTGTTTGCTTAGCCAATTGTTGAATCTCAGATCCAGAAGAACCAAATCAAATCAATTCCTGTTCGTCAAACAATGGACCAGACCTTGCATTGCAAGGGAGATGTTCCATATTCACATATATTCTATGTACTTGAAGGTTGTTAATGTCCCCTTATAGAGTATATGCTCAAAACCTTTATGAGTGGAGCGAGAGTCGTCATCATTTTCAAAATGAGTGTTCAATGGGAGTTGGAGAATACTCTGCCTGAAATAATGTATTCCTTTCTTTGGGTTGGGTTTAAATTGCCACCTTAAGTAAAGGTTAAGTATCACTTGGCCTTGTTTGTAGGCAAGTGTTGTTTAAGATCGACAGCTGGTTTAGCTTAAAAGTAATGTAGATGTCTGCTGGACATTAGTGAAGATCTTGATCAGAATAACTACCTTTTTCTAAAGGATTGAAGGAACCCTAAGTAAACCTCATTCATTTTATGCATTGGCATATATTGATCAAATGAAAAGATTCATTGGCCGTGATAAAGATAAAGCATAACCCATAATCTTGAAAGTATCCAGTTAAGTTGGTTCCCCATGCGAACCAGATGGTCCCCTTTGGAGGTGTTCTCTCCAGTGCCAACTGGAAGGAGGCCGAGAGGACATCCCAAGGGGACAACACACTCCATCTGGCCAGGGGATGCCAGAAGAAGCTAGAGGTCAAAAGGGAAAGGAAAATCTCCCTGCTACCTTGCTTTAATTGCTGTAACCACCCTTGAGACTTGAGTAAGCCTCCTGGAAATTGATGAAATATGAGACCATAGAAGCTGGAAACTGCATTGAAAACTCTTCCTGCTTTCATTGTTAATGGTAGAGCTAAAACCTGTGGACAACCTTGAATTATAGGCTTGTACCTGTGTGGGTGTATGTCATAGGTTGTGATTTATTATGTGCATCACTTGATTAAGTGCAGTTTTATAACCGTTTTATAACCCTATGGAGAAGTGTGTTTGACGTGTGGAATGAAAGCATTTTCTTTGGCCCCTTACATTTTCTTCTTTCTCTTCCCAGCACCTAGAGTCAAGGTTACAGTCACACAGCAAGTCTTTTACTCGAGTTCTCCTGTCGGAAATTTTTCCCAGCAAGCTGGATCTGATGCCAGATGTGGACGCGTGAGTATTAAGATGTACTTATACATACATTGTTGCACTCTGAAGTCAAGGACTCCTGAATTGAATGAATCAGAAATACTAAGCCGTGGTGGATAAATATAAGTGATAGAACTTTTGAAATATATTTTGCTTTGTTTGCCATTTTTTGCTACAGGATATGGTTGTAGAGCACAGATCAATGAGTCGTTTTTAGGTTCTTGGTGTATTTGGTCAAAGGGTAAATCTAGAAGTTATTATACAGTGAATGAAATGCTGCCTGGAGAGCCAAAATTCTCCCTCTCAAAGTACGTTTTTTTTTTTTTAAGTTTATTTCTTAGTTTTGTCCACTTAATTCCATGGATTTCTGCCACAATGAAGTTAAAATCCAAGGTGTCTTCAACACGTCAACTCAACAGTTCTCCATTTTGGTCTTTTTTTCTTCATTTGCAAATTGTATTATCACAACCCTTTCTTGTTTTTTTATTTTTTTAAAAGCCTTATTGATGTGTTCACATCGTGGCCCTTAGAGCAACTGTGAGCAACAGCAAGAAATCAAATGAAAGTCTCAGTCATCAACATTTGAAATGTATTCTGTAAGCATCATTGCACATATAATTTCAGAGTCGGCATAATTTGCAAGTTCAGTGTCTAACAAGAAGTGGACAAACAGTAGCACAGAGTGTGAAGGCTCATAAACAAAATTGGTATTCATGCCTTGGTGGGACCATGGTTTTTGTGTTTGAAGCAAAAACAAATTGTCCGGTGTACTGAAGGCTTGATACGCTTCACTCAGATTTGACACACCAGACATAAAACATTTTACACACGAATGATCTATTCAAAGGCTTATTATTCATTCTGTAATGGCAAGAAGGACAGAGTAGAATAAGGGCTGTAAAAAAGATTTAACCTTGCCCATGTTCTTTTTAAACTTACGCTCTAGCTTCATAGTCATGTAAATCCTCTTAACATGAGTGTAACAATATGTTGTGTTGCCTCAGCCCAAGGAAGCTGAACGAATGAATACCACATATAAACACTCCCCTCACAAATTGTGAAATTATCAGTGAAGTGTGACATTATTGATGCACTCATGGAACTTGTCATTAATAGATTCCTGATAATTACAATGGGAGGAGCGCAGTTTACTCTCTGTACTCATTACTTTCTCAAAATGAAAATGAGCCCAAGTTTCTTCAATTAAATATCGAGTGCTCAGGCTCCTCGTAGGTGCAGCTCCTCCGATGTGTCTGACCTCAAAGCAGAAGAACAGAGGTGCAGCTGGACAAGGGTTTAGTGAGACACTGATGTGCAGCAGCAGCACCAATCACACTCACAAAGGCACACATACACACACAAGCTACTCACAAACCCGCAGATTGGCCTCTCGCTGTGGAGTAATGAGAGGTGTGATGTGTGAGGGAGGAGTGGGTGAGAGAAGGACAGAAGGTCTGAGAGAGATTGAGAGGGAGTTTTGAGCGAGAGAGAGAGAGAGATGCAGAGGTAGAGAGTTGAGGGGGCTGTGTTTGGAAAGCGAGCGATCACGGTAAAAGCCGTTTTTTTTTCTGAGTTTTTTTGGCTCTCCTCTACGGACTGACGTATGAGTGCAACTCTGAAATTATGTAAGTCAGGCACGATTCAGCCAACCAAAACAAACCCTCATTACAGAACAAAAAAGCTTTTCAACAAGGTGAAAACAAATGTTTGAATACAAAATGAAGGGCCCATGGTGTACATAAACAATATTATCTTTTGTACACCCCATCCAGTTTATCAGTACACCTAGCTAATTAGCTCCCCATTCATAAATATATATTTAGTCCACTCTTGTTTATATAACTCAAGTTTTACAGCCCAATACAATAGAGTGGAACTTCATTTAATGACGACACATACTACATCCACAAAAATGACCATGACATTTAGTCAGAAACCGTTATGACTTTGTATTGTTGGAGGCTATGCCTGAGTATTTTGTGAGAATTATTCATTAAAACCCATACAAATCTTCCTGTGAGGAGTTTAAACTGGTTCTAAAACACTCAATGTCATACTGAGGCCGCTTTATGACCTTTTAAAAAAAATATAGCCTTAACTATTGCTATGTAGATATTTCTAATGCCCGTCACTGGAACACAGACCCAGGAGCCTACATTTCCTCCCGTCTAAGTCTAAAAGAAGCAGGAAGGGACTTTTCTTCAGAGAATGCTGCATGCATAAAAAAGGCAAGACCAGCAGAGAGATAAAAAAAAAAAAAAAAAAAATTGATCAAGGAAATGATCAGTGACATCAAAGGCATACAGGTCCTCCTGAATTCCCCTGTTTTCCTCCTAGACATGTATTATACGATGTTTGTATTATCTATGAAATTACATCTCTCAGGTGTTTCGTTGTTGTCCCCACAGGTCATGGTTGACATTGCTGTATTTGGCTTATAACATAATAATATGTCATAGGCTACTGCTACCAAGCCTTATCTTACAATTCTAAAGACACATCTATCAACATCTTAATCAGCATTACTATAACAGAACAACTATACATATTAACTGTAGGCTTTACTGGGTGTATGCACAGAGCTAATACATCATTTTAAAAAGTTTCTCAGTTGTTATTTTTCAGTTATATATAAATGACATTGTCACAAATAGATACATCATCACATTGTTATGGATCGCACACAGCTGTGTCCAAAAAAGAAATACATAATCACAAGTCTTTCTATCCCTCTCTTCAGAAAACAAAGGCACAGGCCACCTGGCTCAAAATCTTGACGACACCTGGCGTTCCCCTTTTAGTTCATGGGCCTGCAATAATTGACTCAAACAAAAGTTCCTCCTGGCTGTTTTTCCTCTTTTTTATTTATTTTTTAACTCTCCGCTTAGAGTAGTGTGTAAGAAGGCAGTCATCCTACATGAACTCCAACAGACTTTACAAACCACCATATGCTTTAAGCTTTGTTTAATCTGTGTTTAAAGCGGAGTATAAGGAAAGAGAGAGCAGGAGATTGAGAGATAGACGGTGGGGTGGTGGAGGACACATTAGTGCTCAGCACCAGCCAACACAGCCCACTGTGCAGAACCCACCCTCGGGCTTTCTCTGTCATTAGACACACACATACTCGCTCATATAAAGAGAGAGACACCATTAGCATATGCTCTTAAGTGTGTAATTAGGCTGTCCCCAAGCAGGTTTTAAACCATTGTACTGATATCTGAACACCACACACACTTATCTCAACTAGAGCGTAAATGCCACCCAGTGCAGTGCAGGCTTTCATCTTCCTGTTTGAATTTTTAATTTTTGACTCAATTGAAATGAAAATGTTTGTTTTATTCAGTTGAGTGTGCCTTCAGAGATGAGCACTTCTCACGTTTTTTTTTTTTTTTTCCTGCTGCGTTGAAAGGTTAATTGTTCTTGCTTCTGGCGGGTCAAGATTGTGTGTGTAATTGAAGCGAAGCCTTGCAGGTGGAGGTCTCACCAACAGTGTCAGGGTGTAATGGGCCACAGCAGGAAATGCAGCAAAGCCATCGCTCGGACTAGAACATTGCCGAGCAGTGACGAAACTATGATCTCTTTATGTATCACTGCAAGCGTCCTTCTTCTCTAATCCTTGCCGGTGTCTTTGTGATGAAGGATTTTACTTTCTGCTAAGAAATCTGATCATTTGAGAGGGGAAGAGACCAGGTCTCTACCAAACCTGTACTCTTAAATTCTTCATTTCTGCTGAACTCTGTCAGTGTCTGTGAAGAAGTAATGCACCTCTTTTATTTCCTCTCTCTTTGTACCCCTGCACTGCATGATTTGAGTTATCCACTGCGCTGGCTAGATTGAAGGCCAGATATAAGATGGAAGTACAATACCTGGCAAGGCGCACCAGAGTTTTACTGAACTGCACAGTTCAGCCTGTCTCAGCGCTAATATTAGAAAAGTCCCTTCTGGTTCTATGTGCCAATCAGCTATCAGCTCCTAAGGGGGGCATCCCTTTTATGCTTATTGTCTCACTTTCCTCTCAGACGTTGCTTTTGGTATCGGCTCTGAGCATTTCATGAAGGTGTCTTTCTTTGCTTATTAAACACCCTCCTTTTTTTGTTCCACTCTTCTTCTTTTTTTTTTATCTCATTCTACAAATAGACACTCATACGTGTGGCAGACACGCAAACACATGCTGCTTGCTCACACAAATTCATACAGGCAGTACTCCCCATTTGTAATTACTTCTTTCTCACTGTGTATTTGGACCAAGGCGGTTTTGATACATGTGTTACGTTAACGGGCTCCAGTTATGAACAGCAGTTGATGGACTTAAAGGTCATTTTTTCAGTTTCCACAGTTCCATCTCTACTCAGCAAACGTAGGTCAGAGGAAGTTGGTGCTCGGTGCAAATATGTCTGACTCAGCTGGCTTTCAAATTAGAAGCATGAATAAGAATTCACTCTTTCTTTTTTTTTTTTGCAAAAAAGAGTGTTATTTGAAAATGAGAAAATGCCATGCTTTTGCCTAGAGGGGTTTGAATGTTTCTGTGACAGAAAGCAGAGTGGAGCGAGAGTCAACGGTGCAATCAATTTTGCAGTTAGAGAAAATGTGTGTAAGTTGAAAATTGAGGAAAAGACAGATGGGGATTTTGACGCAGAAGGCATCAAAGTATTCAATCGATTACACCAGAACTTTTTTTTTCCTTTATGTGTGTCACATGCATGCCTCCAGATGCTTAAATCTAAAAACAGATGTAGTCTTATTGACATTTACTTAATTCTAACATTATCTCTGGGGCTTTTTTTTATGTGCACTGCAGCTCAGTTCATATTTGTCAATACTTCTGATAGAGCTCCATCATTAGCATTAGGGACAGGGGAGGGTCCGCTCCCTCGGTGCAGATGCGGCCGTGGATAGCATTGATCTGTAAAAGCTAACCCCCGTAGCCCCGGCAGCTCCTCTGCGTCTCCATTCTCCCATTGTTCATTTTTCCCCCTCCAGCTGTTTACATCCACTCCCTCCGCTTCGCTCTTTCATGCATTTTCCAGAGTAAACACTTTTTCTCCCTGCCAATCTTCCTCCCCTCTTCTTCTTCTTCTTCTGTTCTCTCTTCTCCTCTTGCTCATGCCTCTTCAGCCCCTCTTTCCCCTGTTTTTTTTTTTTTTTTTACTTCACTTCCCCTCTCTTTCTCAGTATCGCTGTATATCTGTGTCCTTCCCTCTCTTTCTTCTCACCCACCCTTTCCCGATGCATTTCTCGCATACACAGCCCCCCCAAACCTCACCCCCACCCCCCTCTCCACCACCCTGTCTGCCAGCTATGTAGGCTACCTCCGTTGAGACCGGGCTGGTGCAGGGTTTTTTTTTATTTTTTTTAATTCACACTCACCTAACCTCTCCCTCTTTTTTTCTCACTGCATTTCTTCTCTATTCACCTCTTCTCGCTTCTTTCCCCCTGTTTTTCTATTTATGCCTCCTGTAACAAGTCTACACTGCCCCCCCCCCCCCTTCTGACCCTCCTCCCTCTCTTTCCCACCTCCTTTCACTTGCTCACTATGCATTCAGACTGTGTCGCTGTAGCCGTCTTTAGAGCTGTTGCAAATCAGGACAGATCTCACCAGCAGATGCTGGTGATCAGGAGGAGGGAGGTTCCTCCCTGCAAAAAAACCCCAGTTGCATCACGTATCCAACTGCAGATGTGCCCCGCCTGCCTAATAGGATCTCGATCTGTAGCCCTCTCTGACCGGCTCTGTTTTTGCACGCCTATTTGCTCTCACTTATGGATGCACGTTTGAGGACGAATTTGCACCTCCTCTCTCCTACAGGTGGGTCCAGATCGCTTGTCCACGCCTCTCTATCGACTGGGGCACAGCCTTCTCCAAGCCCCTGCTGTCCCCGTATGAGGTACTTATCATCTCACAGCTGTCACTAACTTATCAGGGTAGACTCGTGCATTGCCCTCACACACAGACACACCTGCAGACCTGCGATTGAAAGAAAGTCTGTGTGATTTTGTTTCTGACTTATCAAGGCCTGCTTGTCCCCCTGTCTTTCAATCTCTCCCTCCATCCATTGCACACAAACACACACAAAGCAGCATCAACAGAAGACGAGCCCCCCTACTGGCTAGTAGAACACACACACACACACACACACACACACACACACACACACACACACACACACACACACACACACACACACACACACACACACCCCTCCCCTCCCTCTTCTGCAGCTGTCTTGTTTTTCTAAAAAAAAAAAAAAAGAGAAGAGATAGATTGAACACCAACCCATAAAGATCCATTTCAAAGCAAGTGTTTGTTTTCTGCTGCAGCTGCTGAAGCCCCTCTGTGACGTTTTTGGCTGTTCAGGCTTATTATGTGTCTCCGCTGGTTAACACCTGATGACGACATTTAATTGAGTCCACGATTGTCTACAAAGATTTGCTACTGATTTGAATCCCTGTGAAATGGCTGCGAGGGGAATTGCTGTCATGAATATTGACTCTTGATTTGAAATGGTTCGCTGTTTTCCTCCGACTACATATCTTTATGCCCCTCTTACATTGCAGAAAGAGGCCATTGAGAATAATAATAGCATCCACCTTGGCAGAGAAAGTGATGGTTATGTGGTACTGTTTCTGGGAGAGGTCTATAAGTTCAAATTCACAGCTATTTGGAAACGGTGTTTGTGCATTAGAGATAATATGCAGCCACACTTACGTCCATGCAGTATGTGTGTGGTTGAGATGAGTCTTAATTCACTCTCATCTCATACCTATGAGCGCTATACGTCTCAGTGTGTCTTGCTTTTTCACTGTGGCATTTACACTGAAGATGAAAAAGGGCCAAAGGGAGGGTGGAGCCAGCAAGGAGAAGGGTGGATGGTGTGTGTTGGGGGGGAGGCATTTATTTTCAGTGCGTCTCATGTTATATTTATAGTCAATAAGACACACTTGGCTCTCCTGTCAGAGCAGGGATTAGCAGGGGAAGCTAGCTTCAACAGAGAGAGAGAGAGAGAGAGGAGCAGAGCGTGGGGTAAAAGCTAAAGAAATGAGAGGAGGGCGGAGGCTAGGAGGAAATGAAGAGAAATCTGGCAGAAGGGACGATGGGGAGGAAAAAACAAAAAACACTATAAAAGATTTATCTCATTTTAAGGAAATTAAGTAAACCCATATACTATTTTTTCTGTGTCTGGATACAGAGTGGAGAAGACATGTTAATATTTCAAAATACCTCGAGGCACATACTTAGCTATTTTATTTAAAAAAATTGTCGCGCATTTTGGTTACTCTTAAAACAATGGGGGTGGGGGGTGTAAGCGACATGCTGTATCTTTATCTTTACTGCTCTTGTTTTTATCCTTAAGATTATTTTTCCTTGTTAAAATGAAGAAATGTTAAATGGATTTTTTCCTTCCCTGTTTTTTTGTTTATGTTTTTTGTAATGATTCAGCCTGTGTGTTTCTACAACTATCACTATAAAATACAGGTGCTACACACAAGCTGTGTAACAGTGACAAATCATGTCCCCAGAGAAGACATTTCATCACTTACTAACTGTGCTGTTCATGTTTGCTTTGATCTCATCTCAAGTGGGTCTAAAGATTTTTGCTTTTGTTAGTTTTTATATTCAAGTGTGTCGTCGTCGTATTTTTCACACATGATCTAAAATATCCCATATTGTAATAACTGAGCTTAGCTTTTAGAGTATAAATCATTTGAAAGATGGAGGAGCAAACTGACAAAATGTTTTGTTCTGCTCTCTTGTTTATTCATCTGTTCAATCATTGAGCTGCTCTTTCTGTCATTCAGAATCAATATTCACACACACTTCTCCTCCATATGGAGCAGTCTGCACTTATGTCACAGCACTGCCATACGAGTGCTGTTGCTCTCCTGCAACAGCTGTTGTGTCGTGCTGTGCAGCTGCATAGGGATAACATGACAACTCTGCCTCTTATCCAACATTAATATTATGACACCTGTCTTATCTGTTGTTGTCTTCTCATCATGCTGCGGCTTCCTGCTGCTTGTTTACCCCAAAACATTCCAAATACGAGATAGAAACAGCAGAATCATGCACTGTAGCGCCTCATACAAGTAGGCTGGTGTTACACTTTCAGGTTAGTGAGATGAATTATTTGTGATATCGCCGTCTCTCAGGCAGCTGTAGCTTTGCAGGAGGTTGGCTGGAAGGAAGTCTACCCCATGGACTTCTACTCCAATCAGAGCCTTGGGCCGTGGACCCCCAACCACCCTGACCACCAGCCTGCACGGACCACTCGCAGACAGAACCAGGTGAGCCGGGGCAGGAGATAAAAGAGCCAATGAGGGAGGGAAAAAGAGAGGAGGGGGAGCGAAATCTCACAGAGTGAACCCTCTGAGTGTTCAGCATGTGTTTTATGACTTTTATCAGGATGTCACCACACTGACACCAAGTGGCACGATGAAAACAAGACGTGTATTCAGACACCTCTTTAAGGCGTGGCTGTGACCTTGACCTTGATGTGCATCATATAATTCTTATTTATTCAAACCATTAAAAAAGACCCCTAGACGTGCAGTTAATTGATGTGTGAGAAAACACTCCTCAGAATGCATAATGCCCCACATTACCACTAATCTGTCTGAGGGTAGGTACTGTCACTATTCCAACTGTTAATGCTATCCAACCGCCCGCCTGCAGAAACAAGGCTCGGAGCCAGCCCTTCCTCCTAACCAGTGTGGGCAGGACCAGTGCACCCCCTGTGGCTGTAAAGGGGAATGACATGGAAGGAGCGGTGCTGCGTGGGTGTGGCTCGTCTTGTGCCTGCCGGTGCCTCTGTAATGGCTGGAGGGGGGTCAGACCAGAGGAGGAGGAGAGCGGGTATGTGTCCAGACAGTCTATCAACAGAGCAGAGCTAAAGCCAGAGGAAGCCGTGAGCCGCTCCTCAAATGGATTACCAGCCATAAATAATCCCTCGTCTTACAGCACAGCCGATCAAACCAAATTCATTGCTCTTATTCACGTTCTCCCTGCATGGGCTCTGAGCTCCAAAAAAAAATGCATGCAGCTGAGAGAATAGCCAGCTCTTTTATGAGCTCATTCTTCAAAAAAAACTTCCCCATGAAGGAGACACTTCCTCTCGCTCTGTGAAAAGGAGTTCTTCCTGCACAGGAGAAGCGGCCGGGCCTTTCTGTAATGGAGACACGCTTTATGTTATTGTTAGGGAGAGAAAGTGTGGGATGACCTTGCGCACATTGTATGGAATTTAAATATGTGTAGATGTGGGAGGCTTTGGTCCAACTTATCCTTGTATAGAGCTCTGACACATTTGAAATGTAGTTGATTAAAAAAGTTTTATGAAACACTTCTACATTATCTAACTTTTTATAAGATAATTATTCAGATTTTTGGATGATGATGATGTAATGCATTGTGACAAAAAGCTTACTCTGTCTTTTTATGTTCTGAAACAATAAATCAAACGCAGAAATCTTTTTTCATGAAATGATTTTAATGCTGGGAGGGGTATGAATCCTCGATGTGTGCAGCGCCAGTCACGACTGCTCGCCATCCTCATTATTTATTGATGGTGGAGCCTGTCAATAAATAAAGAAATATATGTGAACACTATTGCTGCTTCGCCTGCCACTGAAGAATATGATTGACAACAGCGCAGCATGGCCTCGGCCAATCCAGAGAACCTGTGACCCTCCCCCAGGTTGCAGCACATTCTCTCAGGTGAGTATCATCTTTGTGTGAGTTTTCTTGTTTCTCTTCAACTACCAGGCAGATCCTTCCTCTAGTTTCGCATCTCCTTGGCAACAGAGGCCAGTGTGATTCTGCACGTCCCGCCAGTTGTCCATGTGTCTCGGGATGTTTCTCACGTGTCAAAGTAGTGGCTGTCATTCTGAAGAGCTCAGTGTTCACTACAATAAAGTGTGTGATTTAGGTAGTCAGGAATAAATTATTGGACAGCTGAGCTCCCCCACAGCTGATAATTGATTTAGTTTTTGGTGCACACTGTCAGGGAGGAGGGAGTAATAAGATTCATAAATCATTTTCCCTTCTCATTTTAAGTGTGCAGTGTTTAACCTCATTTTCAGATATGCACACATACCTTACAATGACTATCAGATTTCAACAATCTGATTTTGATCTCATGATCTAGAATATGGTAATGTAGTCAAATAGGGCCCCTTATTACATGACAAATAAGTGGAGGGGAAAATATTTTCAAACTCCACCACCTTCACTCACCCTACACATCAACATATATCAGCGTACACTAAACACACAGTCAGTCACATTAAGTTATTTTTTGAATCCACCTCTAACATTGGCTGCATAAAGTACAGAATAGCAGTGCAGTGTGTGACATCAAACTGAAGTCTTGCTGGGACCCCCTTATAAATCCCCCACCCCAGGGTCCTGTGGGAATCACTGCTTTAAGAAATGAACTGAATGTACTTCATAATCAAAACCAACAGTAACCTTAAAGTGCCTTTAATGTGTGAAATGTTATTTTAAATGACACTTATTCTCTTTAATAATGTTTCCATTTCTTTGTATTGTACAATAACAAAAAGTAATCTTCCATATAAGGCTGAAAATAATGTCATTATACACATTTATCACCACATATTGCTACATGTATTCATTGAAACACTAACTACAGACACATACATATACTTTTAAAAGAGGACATAAATAATTGACAAATAAGGCATATAAAACAATCCTTAAATTGAATGTAAGTCAAAATGGGAGTCAAACAATGCCACATTTGAAAGCCTCTCAGAGATCTAATTTTTTTATTTTAAAGAGGATGTAAGATTAAACCAGTGTCATAGCTCTTTTATTGTATGTTTTTAAATTGCATGGTCGTGTACTTGCGCAGTGTAATAATATGACCCAGACTTAATGACAAAATGCAGAGTATTTGTCTTTGGTAAATGATCAACAGTTGATATATGTAGACATAAATCCAAATGATCAGGAACTGGGGGAAAACAATATTTATAGTGAAAATGTGGATGCAGACAATTTTTAAAGTTAAAACAATATATTTAATATACCTGATCTACTGTTAGATAGTCCGACTGCATCGTTTGATAACATTTTCAATCAGAAAGTGTTATTAGCCCTATAAATATTAATATTAATGTTAACTAGCCAACACAAATATTAGCGAGGGATTTGAGTTCCTTGACTTGTGCAGCTCGAGTCATAACTCTATTTAAATTGTGGTGACGGTGGAGTCTGTAAGATACATAATTAACTCTACATACCCATGAGAAATGGCTCCGTGACCCTCAAGGTTTCACTAACTAATGACGATATAGTTGCTGAAATGTCTAGAATTAGGTTCTCTACGTTCAGATATAATATTTTAACGGCTTTTGAGACTCCCATTCTGACCCTGACCTCAGAGGAAAATGTCTGCTGTGTGATTAATAGAAACTGATTAAACTGTCTACCTGTGGAAAGCAAAATGTACGTACACTTCTGAATAGATGGATGAAGCTACATTAATGACCTCGTATGGGGAATAGATTAGGCTCATCAAAGAGAACAAACAAGGGAGCACGAGAGCAAAATGAATGTGGTTCTGATTCACAGATATTTTATTTTATTTTATAGAAATACACCCTGAATAGCTGCAAAATGTATCACCTCGTGTCATGATCTGTGGACAGCAGATTGAACTTGATTAACACTAATAAACCGAAAAACACTGACTCATAAATAGACAATCCACTCAAAACAAACATACGCACACTGAATCATCATTGAGAAGACATTCAGAAATGTTTCTGTTTGTTCTACTTCTCTTTACATTTTAGTTAAGTCACTTGACATTTGCATTCATTCCAATAAAACCATATTGAAATCATTTATATGTAATAATGTCAACCTCACTCACTCAGGCTTTTTCTCTCAGATTTATTCCCAGTTTAGCAAACTGCCAAGTGACCACTAGGTGGCACTGTTTGCATAGTTAACTGTAATCCCTGAAAAGCCTTCAAATCCAACGTTTCACTTAAAAGGGCAGAGCGGCCTGTGAGTGACGGATGAGTGAAAGTAGCCGGTGTACTCCTGTTTCTGTGGGTGTAATTCTATACAGATTTGATAAGAATTTGATTCCATGTTCCTTTAACCTTCTTGACATCATGTCTGCACCCTTTCTAGTGTCAATCATACAGTAATACTTCCTCTGACATCAGCACCAAGAGGGAAAGCTGCCCACAGAGAATTGGTGTCATATTTATTATGGGTTTCTCTTGAAACTGCAGACGTGTGCCTGTGCTTAACAAAACAGGTGCTCGTGTCACAGTGATATGGGTATACACTAACTGCTATTCTACAGGTCATCTGGTTGCTATAACACCTAGCCACAGCCCTCTTATGACTTTAAGGCCATCAGTAATGCACCCTTAAAAAGCACAGAGCATCGGAGTTGACGGACAAATGCATTTCAGGAACTATGAACTGCTTTTCCTGTGTTCATGTTTTTTTCTGTCGCTTTGTCTGCTACCAGGTAAAAAAAAAAACATGCAGCAGCAGATGTGATGCATTTAGTTGTTTACTTCTTTGACCAGGGAAAGGCTGAGTCACAGCAGCCTCTCACAGCCGCCTTCTCACTTTAACTGTCACTGTCTGCATATCAGGCCACTTCAGCATTTACCTTTCACTCAGCAAATGCATTGTCCCAAGCTTTTGTAAGAGTTTATAGCCTTCATTTGCTTCTATCATAATTATTTTTATACTAGCACTTAAGGCATGGGTGGAAAAGAGACGGAAGTGTTTTTGTTTTTTAAATATCTTCCATGACTCATGGCACTGCAACAAAAATAAACAGAAGAGGAGGAGATGCTTGAAAGTTTGTTTTTGAACATGTTTTGTCCATCAGTGTGTATTTGAGGCAGAGTGGCTCTTGTGCCACATGTGAGTGACTTTGTGCGAAAATGAGGGAGCGGCTGTAGAGAACATGTATAAAAGACAAACCTGAGTCAGTAGAACTCTACTTCTCGCTGTGTTTTTTATGCTGTTCCCTTGGATTGAATCAAAAATTATTGATTTTGCTTAACTCATCTGTATTTATATCCGTCAAGGATAATGTAGGTTGTTAAGACACTGTTTAGGAGGCAGTGTGAAGATGAAAAAATCAATGCTAAGCTGCAGAGGAATGCTGTTTGAAATATTTCTTTGTGTGCCATGGCAACAATAACGGGTGTCGTGACAATGTGACAATGCAGGTGTAATTTCAATTGTGGACAAAAGACCTCAGGAGAGGAGCTTCATGATGTCTGTTTACAAGGTGTAAGTGCATGATTTAGACATTTCAGCGTGAACATTTCACCAGAGGCATGCACACTGATGGAAGAAAATTAGGCTTTTAAACGCATGAATAAGGCAACAGGTCCCTTAAGGAGGTAAAACAAAAAAAAAAAAACAGCCTGTTGTATTCAGGTTCTCACTAGTCTAATTCTAAAAGTGTTTCATTGATTCAGATGGATTAGCAAAATCCTATCACAGTGGGAATTAGCAGCATTGTGTTTAACAAGCCCTTGATCTGCATCTCTGTGGAAATTTGAACAATAAACGATTATGTCTAGAAGCAGCTGACTCTGTGTGTGTGGGAGAGAAGAAGCCTGGGCGGCCAAACAAGGATGTGAAGGGAGGTTGCGAGAAGGTTGGATGAGAGTCTTTAGTGGAAAAGAAAAAAATAAGTGGTGTAAAGAGATGACTAATTCTGCGTGGGAGGTCAGCCTGTCCCTGATCATCCGGCCAACAGCCACCCCAGCACAGGGCTGCTGTCACAAAGTCACCTTCCTCCTCTACCCACTCGCTCCTGACGGAGGTTGTCAGTGTTCACAGCTAATGCTGGGATTTTCTTCTTCTTTTTTTTATTAATATATTCAAGTTTTTATTTATTTATTTATTTATTTATAGCATTTCTTTGCAATAAAACACACATACAGGAGCGACATG